GCCTTTTCCTGGGAAAAGCGGCCGCTCTCCATCCTCATCCTCTCCACTGCAGCTCCTGGAACGCTCCTGCCCCATCCCGCTCCTCCTGTTCCCAAACCGCTCCTGGATCTTCCCATGCCTCATTTTCCCAGATAATCCTGGCTCTTCCCTCTCCTTTTCCCAAACCGCTCCTGGCTCATCCCTCTCTTCCTTTCCCAAACTGCTCCCGGCTCATCCCTCTCCCTTTTCCCAAATAATCCTGGCTTCCATCTCCTCCTTTTCCCGAAAACTCCTGGATTATTCTTGTCCTTTTCCTGAACACTCCTGGCTCATCCCTCTCCTTTTCCCAACTAATCCTGGCTCTTCTCTCTCTTCCTTTCCCAAACTGCTCCCGGCTCATCCCTCTCCCTTTTCCCAAATAATCCTGGCTCATCCCTCTCCTCCTTTTCCCAAATAATCCTGGCTTCCATCTCTTCCTTTTCCTGAAAACTCCTGGATTATTCTTGTCCTTTTCCTGAACACTCCTGGCTCATCCCTCTCCTTTTCCCAACTAATCCTGGCTCTTCCCTCTCTTCCTTTCCCAAACTGCTCCCGGCTCATCCCTCTCCCTTTTCCCAAATAATCCTGGCTTCCATCTCCTCCTTTTCCCAAATAATCCTGGCTTCCATCTCTTCCTTTTCCTGAAAACTCCTGGATTATTCTTGTCCTTTTCCTGAACACTCCTGGCTCATCCCTCTCCTTTTCCCAACTAATCCTGGCTCATCCCTCTCCTCCTTTTCCCAAAAAACTCTTGGATCATCCTTGTCCTTCTTTTCCTGAACACTCCTGGTTCCTCTCTTTCCTTTTCCCAAAATGATCCTGGCTCATCCAATTCCTGCCATTCCCAAAATGCTCCCAGCTCATCCCGGCTCATCCCTCTTCTTTTCCCAGACTTTCCGCTGGCCGGTGGCGAGCAGCATTGATGGGAATGAGCTCCTGGAGATCCAAGTGTTCAACTACAGCAAGGTCTTCTCCAACAGGTGAGTCCCTCCTTCCCGAGGGCCCCGCCCATCCCATCCCGTTTCCCTTCGGAGCAGTTTCCTGGGAATTTCCGGGAATTCATCCCGGGAATTCACCCCGGGAATTCTGCGGTGCTCAGCACCGAGGTTTTTCCCAACTCACGCCAGGGTTTGGGTTTTTTTCCCCCATAAAATTTCTGTGTTTTAAAGGAAATTGGAATTTTTGGGGGTGGATAATCCGGCTGGAGGTTGATGCCGGGATATGTTTTCCCAGATTTCCCAAATCCCGCAGGTGTTGGATTGATTGTGTCCAGGGAAATCGTGGCTGTCCCGTCCCTGGAAGTGTCCAAGGAAAGGTTGGAGGAGGCTTGGAGCCGCCTGGGATAGCGGGAGCTGTCGGGCTTGGAATGGGACGGGATTTCAGCTCCCTTCCCACATGGATCCATGGGGACACCTGGGAAAGAGGAGGATCCTGGGAATCCTGGGAGCCGCTTCCCGAGGCTCCAGGGGCTGCGGGAGAGCTGGGATTTGGGAAAGGGCCGCAGGGCCAGGAGCCAGGGAATGGCTTCCCACTGGGAAAGGGGAGCTGGGAGCTTGGGGAGGAATTCCCGGATGGGAGGGTGGGGAAGAGAAGAGAGGAGCTGGTGCTGGGAACATCCCTCCGGGAATGCTGGGAATACCTGGAAAAGGAAATCCCACCAAACTGAGGGAACATCCCTCTGGGAATACCTGGAAAAGGAAATCCCGTTAAAACAAGGCAGTGCTGGAACTCCAGGAAATCCTCCTTTTCCAGGAAAAACTGGGAGGAGAAGGAGAGTAGAGAGGAGGGAGAGAGTTAGGACCATCCCTCCAGGAATGCCGGGAATACCTGGAATGGGAAATCCCACTAAACCTCGGAATAAGTTGGATGAGTTTGGGATATTTCTGGGAAGATCCCTCCAGGAATACAACGGGAAAAAAATTACATGAAAGCAGGGCAGTGCTGGAACTCCGGCCTCTCCCCTGAATCTGCTGGGAGAGGAGGGAGAATTTTGGGAACAACCCTCCGGGAATGCCGGTAACACGTGGGAAAAGAAATCCCACGGTCCGTAATTCCAGCCCGTCCTCCTTGTCCAGGAATGAGCTGGAGGAGGAGGAAGGGAGAGGACGTAGAGGATTGGGAACATCCCTCCAGGAATGATGGGAATGTCTGGAATAGGAATTCCCATAAAACCGAGGCAGGGCTGGAGCTCCGGAGGAGGAGGAGGAGGAGGAGGAGGAGGAGGCTCGGGAGCTCCGGGGCTGGGAAAGCCGATCCGGGCGCTCCGTGAATAATTCACGTGCAGCTGATGAAGGCCGTTGATCAAAGGCCTGGAAAAAGGTGGGATACCTGATCCAGGACCTGATCCAGACCCTCCGGAATGACGAGGGAGTCACGTCCGAGCTGCTCCTTTTGTTCCCTGTCCCCGTGGCCGTCACCGGTGGCCAATTCCCGGGAATATGATCCTTGTTTGGTGCCTCTGGATCCCGCTGGGTTCATCCCGGCTCCGGAGGGGCCCCGGCAGCATTCCCAGCGTGCTGAGTATCCAAGGAAAAGGGCAGGGTTGGATGAGGGAGAAGCCACGTCATCCCAAAAATCCTGTCCCCAAGCTCCTGGATTGGGAATTTCCCGTCTGGGAATCTCTCCAGGACACATCCAAAGCGTCCAGGTGCGGCTGGGTGATTCCCAGGTGGAAATTCCCACTGGAAAAGCTCCACATGAGGGAATGATCAAAAACTGTGGGGCCTCCACATCCTGAAAAACATCTCAGGGGATTCCCATGGCATGAAATAATCCATCCGATCCTGGGAAATCCTGGGGTGAGCTGGGATGACCTGGGTGGGAATAGCGGGATCCTGTTGGAATTCTGTCATTTTCCATAGTCTCCTGGTCCCCTGGGAGAACTTCAGAACCCATCCAGGATGAGAGAAAATTCCTGGGATGTTTTCCCATGGGAGAGGTTGGATGGAGGGAAATTGAGATCCCAAATTTTTGGGGATTCTAGCGGGAAAAGTCACTCCAGGACACTCCCGAGGGATGCGGGAATGGGAATCACACCCAGGAGAAGGAAGCAAAGGGATGAATCCAAGAGGCAGCCGTGATCCGGTGGCTACGGAGCAGCATTCCCACGGAGCCATTCCCAAACTTTTGGGACAGCCTTTCCAAGTTTTCCTCATGCAGAAAGCAGGGATAACACCGGGCAGAGATCCCAATCCTTAGGGAATGTTTGCAAAGCCAGGGAGCTTTTTCTCCAGGGGGTTCCCTCTCCTCCTTGTCCCCGTTTTCCTCCGGATCTGTCCCGAAGCCACATTCCAAACCCGGAGCAGGGGGCACGGATGATTTCCCTCTGGAAAACCAATCCCACGGAGAAGAGGCAGGAGCTGCCCGACAGGGGAATGAAGAGCTGGATTCCCAAGGGTTTAATCCATCCCTGGAGTCTCTGGGATGGAAAAGGAGCTCAGTCCCATCCTTTGTTCTTCTCCAGCCGTGGAGATCCCGGCCTGGCTTTGTGTCTCTGGAGGGATCCTCCTTCCATCCATGGAAAATTACCTGGAGCAGGAGAACAGAAAGAATTGACTCCGGAGCTGGAGAATCCCTGTTGTCTGAAGCCTCCCCATGTGGATTTGGGGATGGAATTCCTGGCTGGAATGGAATTTCCTGGAGAGCTGAGGCTGCTCCATACCTGAAAGTATCCAAAAAAAAATGTTGGATGGGGCTTGGAGCAATCTGGGATTGTAGAAGGTCAGGGTTGGAATGGGATCAGCCCTCAGGTCCTTCCCATCCAAACCATTCCGGGATTCCGTGCCGGAATCCTCGGTGCCCAATCCCATGAGGCCCCTTCGGCTCCGGCCACATCAGATTTTGTGGAATTTTTCATTCCCGGATCAAAACCGGTCCAAACACGGAGCGAGAGCCTGAGCACACCCAAAGCGCCGCCTCGGAAACCTCATCCCGAATGGAATTTCCCGGCAGGATATCCCTGGTGGATTTTCCCGGCAGGATATTTCCAGGGGCTGGCTTCCCTCGTTATCCCGCTCCGCTCGCCTTCCAAAGGAAAATTCCTTCATGGGAATTTTTGCAAGAGTTTCCTGAAGAAAAAGGGGGAAGAAACTCGGCTGGAGCAGCTTTTAATTCCTGGGGGCTGCTGAGCTGGAGCTGCTGGAGTATCCCTGATTTCTCCAGGAATTACAGGTGCAAATGGACCCGGAGTCATTACGGGCAAGCGGAGGGAAGGGGATAATTAGGGAGTTTTGGAAGCTCCGATTCCAAGGCACGAGGCAATTCCGGATGAAGCAGCAATTTGAGGAAGAAGGAAAAAGGCTCCTCATTCCAGAGGAATCTCCAGGCAGGAGCTGCAAGAGGAAGGAGCTGGAATTAATCAGGATTGCCCAAGCAGGGATCTGGACATCCATGGAAAAGCTGCAGGTTCCAAATGGGAATGGACACTTTCCAGGATCCCAAAGTGCTCCAAGTCCCGTCCAATCTGGCCTTGGACACTTCCTGGAGGGTTCAGCAGGATGGTTCCATGGAAAGGGGTGGAATTCCACTGTTTTCCTTATCCCGCCTTTCCAGGGGTGTCTGGAAGTGGGGAGAAAAGCGGGATGGAGGTGCCAGGACTTGGCTCTTGTCAGTTTCCAGGGAGGGATGGATGGATGATGGATGGATTGATGATGGATGGATGGATGGATGGATGGATGGATGGTGGATGATGGATGGATGGATGGATGGATGATGGATGATGGATGGATGGATGATGGATGGATGATGGATGGATGGATGGATGGATGATGGATGGATGGATGGATGGATGGATGATGGATGGATGATGGATGGATGGATGGATGGATGGATGGATGGATGGATGGATGATGGATGGATGATGGATGGATGATGGATGATGGATGGATGATGGATGGATGGATGGATGAATGGATGGATGGATCCATGGATCCATGGATGGAGGGATGGAGATGCCATTCCCGAAAAAGAGCCTCTCCCTGGCTTCAGGAGCAGAACTCAGGATCAAACATTATCCCGAGGCTGAGGGAGCAGAGGAGGGAGAACAGGAATTCCTGGACTGGAGGATGCTCTTGGCACAGACAGCTGGAATTCTTTCCCTTGGAAAACGGCAGTGCTGGCAAAGCCTGGCAGGATTTACAGGATTCACCATCATCCCCCTCAGCGTGACCCTGGAATCGCCTCAGGGATACAGGAGGCATCCTTGGAAGTTGGGATGCACCACGAAGGCAAATCCCAGGATTTGGAGCATCCCGGACCTCCCAATCCCAGGATTCCAGTGAGCTCCAGGTACGGAACCGGCCTGGCTGGGGTCGGAAAGCAGACCTGCTGCTCCGGGCTGATAAAATTACGGCTGACCCAGAAAAATTCCCTTTTTTCCATCAGCAGGAATGCCGGAGAAGGGAGGGAGCAGGGCCCTGATGAATTATGGAAGGCCTGGAAGTGAACGGCTGCGCTGACAAATCCTGAATGTTTAATTCCGTCTGGCTCGGATCCTGCCGGGGGAAGCGGCTCGGGAAGGATCCGAGGGAGGACAAGGAGCTTCTCCGGGAATCTGTGCCAGGGCTCGCCACCTCCAGAGCCGGGAATTCCCTCCCGAGATCCCAGCTATCCCTGCCCTCCACCGCAGGGCTGGGGATTGCTCCAAGTTTCCTGGTTTTGGAATGGATCCATGGAATGCTTTGGGTGGGAAGGGACCTTAAGGATCATCCCATTCCAACCTTGACACCTCCCACTGTCCCAGGCTGCTCCAAGCCCCATGCAGCCTGGATTTGGGCACTTCCAGGGATCCAGGGGCAGCTCCAGCTGCTCTGGGAATTCCAACCCAGCCCCTCCCAGCCAGGAATTCCTTCCCAAAATCCCTTTTCCCTGTGTCCTGTCCCTCCAGCCCTTGTCCCCAGTCCCTCTCCTGGAGCCCCTTCAGGCCCTGGAGGGGCTCTGAGCTCTCCCTGCATCCTTCCCTTCTCCAGCTGGACATTCCCAGCTCTCCCAGCCTGGCTCCAGAGCCCTCGGAGCGGCTCCAGGGGAATATTCCAGGAGGAATTTCCCCTTCCTTCCTCAGCCCTCTCTGGGCATTGAGCACCAAAAGCACCTGGATCCACCTGGATCCAGGAGGAGCAGGGAAGCCACACCTGGGAATATTCTGGATTCCAAACAGGTTAAAAAAACACAAATCCAGGGATCCCTGCAGGAATCTGGAGCCCTGCAGGCTCTGCTCCTGAGGAATAGCTGGAATTGGCCTGGATGCTCCCGTTGGGACCCTCCCAGCTCAGGATATTCCATGGAATAAAGCCAGGATTTTCTCCAGGAATGCTTTCCAGAGCTGCTGCTGCTGCTGCTCTGGCAGGCAGGGAATGCTGCTGTTGTCCAATCCCTGAAATCCAGGTGGACACAGCCGCTTTCTCCTCGTCTTGGAGGTGAAGAAGGAGGTTTCCATGGGATGGGCTGTTTTTTCCAGATTGGGAATCACGGAGCAAACAAAGGAGAGGTTTTCCTGTTCCACCCCCTGCAGGGCACCTCGGAGACAGAGCTCCGCCGGGATCGATCCCTGCCTGGAATGCGGAAAATGAGGGATGGAGGTGGAAGCCCTGGAGGGGCTGGAGTGTGTCCAGGGAAGGGCTCTGCTCCCAGGGAACGAGGGACAGGATGAGAGGGAACGGCCATGGGGAGGCTCGGGTTGGATATTGGGAAAAATTCCTTGGTGTCATTGGAGCCACCCGGGGCTGTGGAAGGAATCAGGTGGAACGGGATGAGCTCCAAGGTCCATTCCCACCCAAAGCATTCCGTGATCCCATGACGTGGTGCAGATGGATGAGGGACAGTCCCCGGTCCCTGTTTGAGTCACCGGCACAGAATCCAGCGTGGACGTTCCGTACGGAAAAGGCCACTTTGGGACCCCTCAGCTGCATCCCAGGAATTCAAGCGTGACGGTTCCCAAACCTCCTCCTCTCCTCATCCCAACAGCATTCCCTTGGAACGGCTCCTCCTTTTTCCATCATCTCCCCCGAGCCCTGAGCTGGGATCTCTCCTCTCCCTCTTCCTAAGGAAAATGGGAATTGGGGCCCCGCTCGGCTCCAGGGACAGCAAAGCCCTTTTCCCACGGAAACCGGGTTCTGGCAGGGAGAATTCCCGGGATTTCCTCTCCTTTTCTCCGCAGGCTCATTGGGACCTTCCGGATGGTCCTGCAGAAGGTGGTGGCGGAAGGGCATCTGGAGGTGACGGACACGCTCATCGATGACAACAATTCCGCCATCCAGGTGGGTCCCCGAGGGGAACGGCCGGCATTCCCGGCATTCCCTGATCCGCTGGATCCGTGGGAACAGGGATTGCGGTGTTCCCACCCGGATCCCCAGCCTCCATCCCTGGAGCTCCTGCTCTGAGGGGGTGAGGTTAGGGAATGGCTGGAGGGTGCACGGAGGAGCCCGGGTTGGGAAAGCACGGGAAGTTTGGGAAGTTTGGGATGGGGGAAGAGCAGGGATGGATCCGGTCTGATCCGAGCACGGACAGGGAGAAGCCCAGGATGGAATCCCCGAATTCCAGACTGTTTTGGCTGGGAAAGGACTTTAAATCCCATCTCATTCCAAGCCTGATACCTCCCGCTATCCCAGAGTGCTCCAACCTTTCCTTGCACATTCCCAGGGATCCAGGGGCAGCCGCAGCTTCCCTGGGAATTCCAGCCCAGCCGGGAATTCCTTCCCAAGATCCCAGCCCCAGCTCCCCTTTCCCAGTGGGAAGCCATTCCCTGGTTCCTGGCCCTGCGGCCCTTTCCCAAATCCCAGCTCTCCTGGAGCCCCTGGAACCTCGGGAAGCGGCTCCCAGGATTCCTGGGATCCTTCCCTGATCCGGCTGCACATTCCCGGCTCTCCCAGCCTGGATCCAGATCCTGACATTGGATCCCTCCCACAGCCCAGCTCCTCTCCGAGAAGGAATTTCGGGATCAAGGGAGTTCTCTCGGAATCTCGGGACTCCAGGAAGGGTCTCCCTTCCCCTCTCCTCCCTTCTACCTCCCCAACTTCCATAAAAATCCTGGATTCCGAGTGTCATTTATCGTGGAAACATGGAATGCTTTGGGTTGAAAGGGACCTTAAAGCTCATCCCGTTCCACCCCCTGCCAGAGGGCAGGGCTGGGTGGGATTTTGGGAAGGAATTCCCGGCTGGGCTGGAATTCCCAGGGAAGCTGTGGCTGCCCCTGGATCCCTGGGAATGTGCAAGGAAAGGTTGGATCACCCTAGGATAGTGGGAGGTGTCAGGCTTGGAATGAGATGGGATTTAAAGTCCTTTCCCAGCCAAAACAGTCTGGAATTCGGGGATTCCATCCTGGGCTTCTCCCTGTCCGTGCTCAGATCAGACCGGATCCATCCCTGCTCTTCCCCCATCCCAAACTTCCCAAACCTCCCGTGCTTTCCCAACTCGGGCTCCTCCGTGCACCCTCCAGCCATTCCCTAACCTCACCCCCTCAGAGCAGGAGCTCCAGGGATGGAGGCTGGGGATCCGGGTGGGAACACCGCAATCCCTGTTCCCACGGATCCAGCGGATCAGGGAATGCCGGGAATGCCGGCCGTTCCCCTCGGGGACCCACCTGGATGGCGGAATTGTTGTCATCGATGAGCGTGTCCGTCACCTCCAGATGCCCTTCCGCCACCACCTTCTGCAGGACCATCCGGAAGGTCCCAATGAGCCTGCGGAGAAAAGGAGAGGAAATCCCGGGAATTCTCCCTGCCAGAACCCGGTTTCCGTGGGAAAAGGGCTTTGCTGTCCCTGGAGCCGAGCGGGGCCCCAATTCCCATTTTCCTTAGGAAGAGGGAGAGGAGAGATCCCAGCTCAGGGCTCGGGGGAGATGATGGAAAAAGGAGGAGCCGTTCCAAGGGAATGCTGTTGGGATGAGGAGAGGAGGAGGTTTGGGAACCGTCNCCTGGCTGGGAGGGTGGGATGGGGCTGGACCGGAATTCCCAGAGCAGCTGCGGCTGCCCCTGGATCCCCGGGAATGTCCAAGGCCAGGCTGGAGCACCCTGGGATCGTGGGAAGTGTCAGGGTTGGAATGAGGGGGGATTTAAGGGATTTAAGGTCTCTTCCCTCCCAAAGCAGTCTGGAATTCCAGGATTCCCTCCCAAGCCCCGGCCAGGCCGGGAGGCCATCAGGAATTTCTTTGCCATCAGGAATTTGGGAGGATTCCGCCTCCACCCGCTGATTTTCCTCTCTGCCCTCTGTGGCACTGAAGGATCCTAAAAATACGGGATTTTCCTCCTTTTGGGAGCCGTTTTAATCCGGCCGCTTCCCAAAAAAAAGACAGGGAGCAGCTGGAATTATTTTTTCCCAAGCACATCTGTACTCCTTGCGTTTTCCCTCCCTCCTCAGGCCTGGATTCCCGGTTTTTATTGCTTCCCTTCCCTCTCTCCACCCCCTCTCCCCGGAGAAGCCGCTTTGATGAAATCCCGCTCTCCTCCCTGCCAATTCCAAGAATTCCGCGCATCTTGCCCTGTCCTTGGTGCTGGATGAGGCGGCGGCTTCCCGGGAAAAGCTGATTTTTCATGGAAGCCCCAGGGCTGGAGATGGGGATCAGAAATAGCCGCGTTTCCAAAACTCGGTTTCCATGGGAAACGGCTCCCGGGAGATGGGAGCGCAGCGAGGGAAGCGGCGGCGGCTCCGAACGGGGGGAGCTTTTCCCTCGGGATGGGGGCTCGGGATGAGGGATGCGATCCCGGACTTGGGGGGGAGCTCATCCTGATTTTCCCAGAGGGGTGGGAATGATGGGATTCCAAGGGAATTGTCCAGGAGATCCAAGGTCTGGGGAAACAGAGTCAGAGGCCACGGAGCTGCTCCAAGGGCTGGAGAGCCGGGAATGTGCAGCCGGATCACGGAGGGATCCCGGGAATCCTGGGAGCCGCTTCCCGAGGCTCCAGGGGCTGCGGGAGAGCTGGGATTTGGGAAAGGGCCGCAGGGCCAGGAGGCAGGGAATGGCTTCCCACTGGGAAAGGGGAGCTGGGAGCTTGGGAAGGAATTCCCGGAGAATCCCTGGGACCGTCCAAGGAAAGGCTGGAGCAGCCCGGGATCGGGGTGGGAATGGGATGGGATTGAAAATCCCTGGATCCCGTCCCAAAGCATTCTGGGTTTCTGGGATTGAGGACACTCAGGATCCATCCCAGGGGATTTTTATGGAATTCAGGGATGGAAAAGGGAAGGGAGACCCTTCCTGGAGTTCCCAATTCCCAGTGAAGCCCCTGGATCCCGAAATTCCTTCTCCAGGAGGAGTCGGGATGGGGCTGGATCCAATTCTGGGCTGGGAGAGCCGGGAATGTGCAGCCGGATCAGGGAAGGATCCCAGGAATCCTGGGAGCCGCTTCCCGAGGCTCCAGGGGCTGCGGGAGAGCTGGGATTTGGGAAAGGGCCGCAGGGCCAGGAGGCAGGGAATGGCTTCCCACTGGGAAAGGGGAGCTGGGAGCTTGGGGAGGAATTCCCGGCCGGGCTGGAATTCCCAGGGAAGCTGTGGCTGCCCCTGGATCCCTGGGAGCAAAGCCAAGTTGGATCACCCTGGGATAGCGGGAAGTGTCGGGATTGGAATGGGATGAGCTTTAAGGTCCTTTCCCATCCCGAGGATTTCCGGGAACATCCTCGTTTTCCCATCACGGAGGCCAAAGGAAAGGTTGGAAATGGTTTTCCTTTTTCCAGGCTGGCCGGGAACCGTCCCTGGCATCTCCCTATCGACCTCATTCCCTTGGCCAGGAGATTGAAAACTCCTGGAATGCCGGACCCAGGAGGGAAATTCCAGCTGTGTCCATTCTCCTCCAGGAGAAAAGCCAGGATGGCTCAGAAGGAATTTTTTTCTCAAGCAGCAGGGGGGGAAAATCCATAAAAAATCCATAAAAAAATCTATAAAAATCCATAAAAATCCATGAAAAATCCATGAAAAATCCATTTAAAAAATCCATAAAAATCCATAAAAAATCTATTAAAAATTCCATTAAAAATCTATAAAAAATCCATAAAAATATATAAAAAATCCATAAAAATATATAAAAAATCCATTAAAAATCCATAAAAATATATATTAAAAAATCCATTAAAAATCCATAAAAATAAAAAAATTCCATAAAAAATCCATAAGAAATCCAAAAAAGAATTCCATAAAAAATCCATAAAAATCCATAAAAAATATATAAAAAAAATTTAAAAATCCATAAAAATCCATAAAAATATATAAAAAATCCATAAAAATCCATAAAATTTAAAAAAATCCATAAAAAAATCCATAAGAAATCCATAAGAAATCCATTAAAAAATCCATTTAAAAAATCCATAAAAATCCATTAAAAAACCTATTAAAAAATCCATAAAAATCCATTAAAAATCCATAAAAAATCTATTTAAAAATCCATAAAAAATATATATAAAAATTTTTAAAAATCCATAAAAATCCATTAAAATATATTAAAAAAATCCATACAAATTCATAAAAAATCCATAAAAATCCATAAAAAATCCATAAAAATCCATAAAAATATATAAAAAATCCATAAATATCCATAAAAATCCATAAAAATATATAAAAAATCCATAAAAAAGCCATTAAAAATATATAAAAAAATCCATAAAAATCCATAAAAATATATAAAAAATCCTTTAAAAATCCATTAAAAATTCCATAAAAAAATCTGTTAAAAACTCCACTTAAAATCCCCAGGGAAAAATCATCCCCTCCCCAGCTCTGCAGGGAATTTTCTCCTTCTTCATTTTCTTTCCCATTCCATTGTTTCCAACGGGAATTTCTCCTCTTTCCAACCCACACCTCCTAATTGCACTTGCGAGGGATGATCCCACTCATCCCACAGACCTTTTGCTTCGTTAGATCCTTCTTTTTTTCCCTGCCTCAGAAGGATTTTTTAACCCCCAAATCCAGCTGGAAAAGGAGATTTTTAACCCCAAACTGCTGAAAATGTGAAAATCTGAATATTCCAACTTTTATCCCTGTTTTTTTCTCCTCTTTTCCTGGTTTGGGGGTTTTTTTTTTACATTTTCCGACAGCTTGGGGGGGGGAGGATGGGAAATCAGTAGTGATTGACTCAAATTTGGATTTTTTTCCCAAAAAAAAAAAAACCAAGAAAGAAGAGAAATCAATCCAGAGCTCCGTTCCCAGCTGGGACTGAGTCACCCTCCGGCTGTCACGTGCGGGATCCCCGTGGAATTGTCGCTCTCCTCCCAATCCTTGGATTCCCCTTCACCCCTGCACCTCCCCTTCAACAGGAACGTGGAAAAAAGGGAGAATTTCTGCAAGAAATTCCCACATCCCCCATTTTTTAACCTTTCTTTCTTTTCTTTTTCCCCCCTCTCATGTGCGTGCGTGTTTTTATCTGAAATCCATTGTTTTTGCACCCAAAATGACAGAGAATTTCTCCATGGAAGCGGAGTGGAGGTGGAAAAGTGATTTTTCCTTGGACTTCGATCTCAGCAGCAGCTGTTGGCTTTTCAAAAGAGACATTTTTTTAAGAGAGGGAATTTGGGCTTTTTGGGTGGCTTTTTCTCTCTTTTTTTTGCGATTTGCTTTGTCCAATTCTGAGCTTTTTAGAAGGATTTCAGCCACAGGAGCAAATCCCATGGATTTGATTCTGTTTGAAATGCAGGGAAAGGTTTTAGGCAGGAAAAAGGAAAAAAAAAAATTAGGGAGAAAAAGACTTGAAAGCTCCAAACCTGAATTTGCTGTTGCCTGGAGTGAATTGGGAATGGCCAGATGGAAAAGGGAGAGGAATTTATTCGGAGCTGGTCCATCCCAGGAAGTTTAGAGATTGGATATGGGATATTGGGAAGGAATTCCTGACCTGGGGTGAGTTGGGAATGGCCAGATGGAAAAGGGACGGGAATTTATTCGGAGCTGGTCCATCCCAGGAGGTTTAGAGATTGGATATGGGATATTGGGAAGGAATTCCTGGCTGGGAGGGTGGGGAGGGGCTGGGCTGGAATTCCCAGAGAATCCCTGAGAGTGTCCAAGGAAAGGTCGGGTGGGGCTTGGAGCAGCCTGGGATAGGGGAAGCTGGAATGGGAATTGGATGAGTTTTAAGGTCCCTTCCCACCCAAAGCATTCCAGGATTCCGTGATCCATGGAAGCTTGGGGTGACCCATCCAGTGCCAGCTCCTTCGTGTCCCCGAGTCCCACCACGGCCACACTGGGACATCCAAACCGGGACTGATCCAAGAGTTCCCAGGGATACCCATTCCCAAAAAAACCCTGCCCTGCCTGGAGACAGGACCGGGCTGGGGTAAAGCACCACAAATCCATGGATTAGCAGTATCCCAGGGGGAAATTCCCAACAAAGTGGTGGACCAGGGAGCACAGCTCCACCAGGAACTGGCTCCAGCTGCTCTTCTGGGATTTCCCTTCTCCTGGCTCTCCTGCAGCCGGTCCGGGATGCACCGGGAATTCCCGGTGAATCAGCACCGTGGTCGGATCCTCTCCAACCACGAGCTGCTCTCCATGTGTCCAGGAACAGAGAAACTTTGGGATCAGCAAGGCTAAAACATCCAACAGCCGATGCTCTTCCCGATTTTTGGACTTCCCAGGATGTTCCCCGGATCCCGACGGTGTCTCCCTGTCTTTCAGACCAGCATCTCCATAGAGATCCACTACCAGGCTGTGGATGGCACCGTGGGCACCTGGAATGACAAGGAATTCCTGGAGACACCCAGCGTGCACTCGGAAGGGGATGGAAGGTATTCCTTGGAGACCGACAGCCTCCTGTCCGGCCACCGGCACGGCTCCGACGTCTCTCCCGGGAAATCCAACCAGCAGGCCACGGAGAGGAGCTTCAGGAGGTAACAGGATGCAGAGCTCTTGGATGTGGGATTGGGAGGGCTTGGATCGTCGGGAGGTGATCCCAGTGCTGCTCCAAGGGGAATCTCCTGCCCTTGCAGGATCCATGGAACAGCTCCAGGTCAGGGTGGGATCCAGGTGGCCCCGGCAGCTGCTGGTGCTTCAGGACAGAGCTGAACTTCCAGGATTGTAGCACATGGACAGGAATTGTCATTCCACGGAGATCCCAAGGGGATAAAAGGTCTGGATGGAGGTCAGGGCTCGCCGGTGGATCCATGGAACAGCTCCATGAGGGTTGGATCCAGGTGATCTCAGCTGGATCTCCTGGTGGTCCCAGCTGGATCTCCTGGTGATCCCAGCTGGATCTCTCTCCTGGTGCTCCACAGCTGGAGCTGAGAGTTCCAGGACTGTGGCACATGGACAGGAAACATCAATCCACCCTGATCCCAAGGGGATGAAAAGGTCTGGACGGAGGTCAGTGCTCGCCGGTGGATCCATGGAACAGCTCCATGTGATGATGGGATCCAGGTGGCCCCAGCAGCTCCTGGTGCTCCACAGCTGGAGCTGAGAGTTCCAGGACTGTGGCACATGGACAGGAAGCGTCATTCCATCCTCCATCCATGATCCAGAGGGGATGGAGGGTCTGGCTCCTGGCCAGGCTTCACCGGTGGGATCTCAGGTGTCCATGGGTGCTCCCAGGATGGAGGTGGCTCCAGGGCAGCCCTTGGGATCTCAGTCACTCCCCAGGATAAGCGAAATCCCACACCAGGTGATTCCTGCTGGGAATTCCTGAGGAATCCCAGGGTGGGACAACTCCAGTTGTTCCAAGGGAAGTTTCAGTTTTCTGTTCCTTCAGGGATCCGTAGCTTTCCTTGGGAGCTGCCCCTGGATGGGAACAATCCCAGGGACTGAATCCCAACATCCCTGGACAGGAAGCTGCTGGGAGCAGTGGGAATCTCAGCCCAGTGACTGGGAATGTTGCAGGTGACTCCACTGGGATAAAGGGAGAGCTGGGATCAGTTCTCCATGAGCCTGCAGATACTCAGGGCACCATCCTTGGAGGTGTCCAAGGAATTCCTGGATGCGGCACTCAGTGCTCTGGGCTGGTGACAAGGTGGGGGTTGGGCACAGCTCAGACTCGATGATCCTGGAGGGATTTTCCAGCTTCTGGGATTCTGTAAATCCAGGAGGGATTCATGGAATGCTAAGGTGGCTTTCCAGACAGCTTCCCACAGTTCTTGGAGTTGTGTTGTCCAGAGTGGCTTTGTCCGGGAGCTCTTGAATCCCTTGGAAAAGGGAGCACTTGGAAGAGGGGAGACATCAAAGCCCTGAAGTTTCTGGAATTCTTAAGGAATGAGGAAGGGAGGCTCTGGAAGTGGGATGGGGGGGACAGTGAAGGCGGAGCTGGGTCCTGGTGTCACCCACGGCTCCCTCGGGAATGCCACATGGATCAACCGCTCCCACGGTGATGGATAAAGGCGGGCAATCCCTGTATTCCCAAACCATGGAATCACGGGATATCAGAACCGTTCCGGCTGGAAAACTCCGAGAGCACCGAGACCAAACATTCCCCCAGCACTGCCAAATCCCAAAATCCACAAGGGAGCCCAGCCTGGAGCTTCGAATCCAAACAGAGCCCTTGGAATCAGCTGCTTTTTCCATCCCGTTTTTCCCTGTTTTGGAGCACATTCCATCTGGGATTAGCACTTTATTGTGGCCAAAAAAGGGGGGAAAACGGCTTTTTCCACAGGGATGGGATGGAGAAAGAGGGAATATCCCTCTGATTGCTCACATCCCTCCCAGACAGTTCATTAACTGTGGGAACTGGGCTGAATCCAGGGAATTTTCAAGCAAATTGGAAGCACGGCTTCGTTTCCCGGCCCAGCGGGAATGCGCCGACGGATTAACCAGGCGGATGCCGGGCGGGGAGCCGGGAATGGCACGGCTGGAAGTGAGGGGGGGTCTGGGATGGGATATCAGGGATATCCACCTGTGCCACTGGAATTCAGGGATGCAGGGAGCACCATGGATGCTCCATCCCTGATGGAAGTGTCCGAGGAAAGGTCGGACGGGGTTTGGAGCAGCCCAGGACAGCGGGAGGTGTCCCTGCCCATGGGACAGGGTGGGATTTAAGGTCGCTTCCCACCCAGAGCAGTCTGGGATTCGAGGATTCCAGGGGATTGGAGGATGCTGCTGGGATGGCTCCAGGAGGGGTTTTCCAGTTTCTCATCAGATGAATCCTGTGGGATGCAGCTCTATGGGATCAGAGCAGAAAATGAAGGATCCAGGGAGCCGCTTCCCCACCCTGAAGGGGCTCCAGGAGAGCTGGAGAGGGACTTGGGAAAAAGGATGGAGGGCCAGGAGCCAGGGAATGGCTTCCCACTGGGAAAGGGTAGATTAGGGTGGGATCTTGGGAAGGAATTCCCAGCTGGGAGGGTGGGAAGGGCTGGAATTCCCAGGAAAGCTGCTGCTGCCCCATTTTAGGAAGTGTCATGGCATTTGCCGAGCGTGGGAGGCGCGGAGCCGTGTCCTGGGTGAGGGCTCCAGGAATTGGGAACAATTCCTTCCGGGAAAGTGTTTTCCAGCCCTGGCCCAGCTGCCCAGGGCAGGGATGGATTCTCCATCCCCGGTGGGATTTCCAATCCCTGAGGATGTGGTGCTTGGGGAGGTGGATCAGGGGCAGTGCTGGGGGTGGCAGCTTTTTCCATCCATCCCGAGCCTTTCCAACCCAAAGAAGTCAGCAATTCCATGGTTTTGGAATCCCGAATCCCCGGAAGGGCAGGGCTGACGCTTGCGGTGTTCCCAGCAGGATGGAAGAAGACGAGCTGTATTTCCACAGCGAGGATGAGCTCCTGGGAGAGGGGGATTCCCTGAGCCAGGGATCCCTGGACACGAGGTAGGGAGAGGCTCCGCAGTGCTGTGCTACTCCTTGCCTTTTCCCGATGGATCTCCCGCAGGAATTCTCCCTGAATTCCCATTCCTGGGCTGCTGGCGGGGAGGAGAAGCAATGGAACAGGCAGAGCAGCAGCCTTGGAATGGGATCCCAGATGGAGATCAGGATCCTGGCTGGGACAACTTCGAGGTGCCCTCCTGTCTCCATGTCCTGCTCCCAGATCCCGGGATCAGCCATTCCCATGGGAATGAGCTCCCTGTGTGTGCATGGAAGTTTGTTTGCTGTGGCTTTTCTTGGAGTGACAAAAAGAGTTTGGGGAGGAGCGGAGAAAGGGAATTTCAGGCAGAATCCCAAGGATCATCCCAAGAGGAGCTCAGCCACAGGAAGAAGCATTTTGGGAAAAGCTCCCGAATTCCTGTGGGATAAGGGATTCCAGGAAGGAATCACAAAGGGGCTCATAAAAACGGGATTTAACACTGGCTCTGCCTTGGATAGGGCAGAGTTGGACCAGGTGATCCCTGTAGGTCCCTTCCAACGGAAAATATCCTGTCCCATCCCAATCCCATCCCAATCCCATCCCAATCCCATCCCATCCTGTCTCATCCCAATCCCGTCCCAATCCTGTCCCAATCCCATCCCATTATCCCATCCCAATCCCATCCCATTATCCCAATCCCATTATCCCAATCCCATCCCAGTTCCATCCCAATCCCATCTCAATCCCATCCCATTATCCCAATCCCATTATCCAAATCCCATTATCCCAATCCCATTATCCCAATCCCATTATCCCAATCCCATTATCCCAATCCCATCCCATTATCCCAATCCCATTATCCAAATCCCATTATCCCAATCCCACCATTTCCCTGGCTGGGCCATGGATTCTGTTGGATACCAGGGCAGAGCCCAGACCTGGGCCTGGATCGTCCATCCCAGGATTCCCGCTCAGCCTGGATCAATCCTGGCTGGGAAGGGCAGGATTTCCCCCAACCCTTTTCCCAGGAAGTCAGGGATGAGGGAGGAAGTGGAGATAAAAGCTGGGAGAGGGAGATTCCCGAGGCAACGCCGTTTGAATGAGGTTTTTAGGGATAACAGGAATAGGGGCATCCATTCGAGCAGCAGGAAGGGGATGACGCAGGGAATACCGGGAATTCCCCGGGATGGGAAAGGTTTATCCCCCATCCCAAACAATTCCCAGCTCTCAGCATCTCTGGGGGCATCAGTGGGGGTTTCATCCCTGTTTTCACTGAGCATCCCTGGAGGATTTTGCTCCAAGGAATGCCTGGCCTGGGACACGTGCTGGAATTTGCCAGGAATCCAAAGAGAAAAAAAAAGTGGGAATAAAAGAAAAGGAAGGTCAAGGGTACCATATTCCCATTTTTGGGAAGGGTCCAAAGGCGCTTGGATGTGAACCATCCCTTGGAATCCAAGGAATCTGGTTAAAATTCCCGTGGGAACAAAAATGTCACAGCTCTTTGGAAGGCCTTTCCTTCTCCATACATTCCAGATCTGGGAAAAATCCGGATTGGGAGAACAAAAGTAGGAATTTCGGTGTTTCCAGACTTCCGATGGGAAGTTGAGTGGGATGGGGAGGGCGCCCGTCTCAGCCTTCCTCATCCTCATTCCCAATCCCATTCTCTGCGGAGCACCCGAGCGTGTCCCGGCACGTCCTTCCTCCGGCCCAGGGATCCCTCTGGATTCCCGGTGTTCTGCACGGATGGAAGGTTTGTGGGATACACAAGGAAAAGTGGGATAAGCAAGGCACGGAATTCCCTGTCCCGGGAATGTCCCAGGAGCAGCCTCAGGGATCACTGGCCAGGCCAGCGCACAGCCCTGGAGGCCGGGAATTGTGAAACCGTGGAATATTCATGGAATATTCAATGTTTAAAGCATGGAAGGGACCTTAAATCCTGCCCCTTTCCAATCCTGACACCTCCCACTATCCCAGGCTGCTCCAGCCCCAGGGATCCAGGACAAGCACAGCTGCCCTGGGAATTCCATCCCACCCCCTCCCAGACAGGAATTCCTTCCCAAAATCCCATTTAATCCAGCCTTTTGTTGTTTCAAACCTTTCCTGTCTATCCTGGCATTCCATCCCTTATCCAAAACCTGTTCCTGGATGCAGAGACTTGGTTGAATTTCCATCTTTTCCGATGACTAATCCCACGATCCCAGGCATTCCCTTCCCTGTCCTGAATTCCTCCCACCCAGCTCGGAGCCCCTTTTCCACCTGGAGAATTCCCGGGAATTCGGGCACAGAACCAGGAGAGGGTAAAGCCTGGAGATCCCAGATTTTGACAGCTCTGGAAGCAGAGGAAGATCCCTCTCCAGCAGGTCCAGGACATCCCTGTCCCATTCCCATGGAGCAGAGCATCCACATCAAGGACTTCGGGAATTGTGCCGATTCCAGGGGAAGCAGATCCATCTTTTCCTGTGCCGGTGCTGGATCCAGGCCGATCCCTTGCTCTGACACAGGGAATTTTGCACCTCCGTTCCCTCTTTCCCAGGATGTCTCTGGGAATGTGTGACCCTCCTGTGCCCGCAGATCCATGGTGGACACCTCTGCTTGGGAATTTCCCAAAACTGGGGAATTTCCCTGTTGGCAGGACCCCCCCAGGAAGGAATCCCGCAGCTTTCCAAGGGATGGGAAGGGCTTTCCACCACTGGGATGATGGCAGAGCTTTCCAAGGGTTTCCAAAGGCTGGGAATTCCCTTTTCCTCCTTCCAGGAATCCTGGCATAGGGTACAGCACCTGCCCATTCCCACTTTTCCTTTGGAATCTGAGCAAACCCATCCCAAAGGAAAGGAAGGAGCAGGGAAAGGAGATCAGGCAGGAGGGAACCGCTTGGAAAAGGTGGAATTTTGGCCAAATATCCCCCAAAATCCAGGCTGGGACAAACCTGGATCCTTTGGACAAAGTGGGAAGTGGCGTGAGGGGATCCTGGGATTCCAGCCATGCATGGAGTGCTTTGCTGTGCCGGAGTGTTCCCAAGTTTTTCCTGGATTATAAAGCAATGGAAGAGTCCTTTATCCTCACATCACAGCCAGAATTTTTCCTCTCTCCCTGTAAATTCCCAAGCCTTGGAGACGAAGCGGAAGAAGATCAGCATTCCAGGTAAATTCCCACAGCAGATCCCTCCCTTCCAGGGCTGATCCACTTCCAAAGTCCTGCTTCCCAAAGAAAATTCCTTAAATCCAGGAATACGCATCAATACGTTAGATTTCATTTTTGTGCTTCCCTGGGGGATCCCAAGTTCGGAATCTGCTCATCCCACACAGAATCCAGGGATGAAGGAGCCAGGCATGGGAGGTGGGAGCTTCCCATGTTCCAGGTCCCTGGAATGGCTTCGGCTCCTTGATCCATTGGGAGCTTTAACCAAACTCATCCATGAAAAAAATCACGGGAAGGGATCCAGAAGGGGGAAATAAAGAGTTAAAAAAATCCAACCTGGATAGAAAAAAAATCCCAGGAGATGGGAGGACATTGGAAATGGAACAGGATCCTTCAAAAAGCTGGACTGGTGCTCCAAGGAGCGGAACAGAAAAGAACAGGAAAAATTGGATATTGGGAAGGAATTCTTCCCTGTGAGGGTGGAGAGTGGCTGGGATGGAATTCCCAGGGAAGCTGTGGCTGCCCCTGGATCCCTGGGAATGTCTAAGGCCAGGCTGGAGCCCCTGGGATAGCGGGAGTTGTCCCTGCCCATGGAATGGGATGGGATGAGGTTTTTTAAAGCCCTTTCCCACCCAAACCATTCTGGGATTCTGCAATCCCACGATTTATTCCCTGATGCAGACTCGCCCTTGGATTCCCAGGAAAAGTCAAGAGGGATGGGAACTTCCAGAGGCAGCTGAGGAATTGCCAAAACCTGGCTGAGCCCAGCTCCCAACCCCCCGGAACCTGAGATCCCGGGAAGCACCATCCGATAGGGGCCATCCCTGAAATATTCATGGCCGGGACAGAGCTCGGAGCCGAAAGGAATCTGCTCCCAGTGAATTATTGATGGAAGCTTTTCTTCCGTGTCCCGGCGGATCCGAGCCTTGTCCGACCGCCTGTCGCTAATTATCCCTCTGGCACCTGCTCCAAAGTTGGGATCTGTGCCAGGCATGGGAGAACTTGGGCTGAAAACCCCCACAGGCTGCCCAGGGCCTTCCCATTCCCGTGTGGAAGTGGCGCTTGGGGACGTGGATCAGTGCTGGGAATGGCTGGGATTTGGGATAGTGGGAAATTCATCCGTGTCCAAATAGATAAGAAGGGGCCAAAATTCCCAAATCCGTGTGGCATTTGGGCACGGATCTTTGGGATGTCACAGTGCCACCACCAGGATGAACGGGAAATTTGGGATCCTTTCCATCCTGGGGAAAAAAAGCCCCACTCAAGGTTTTCCATCTTTTTTTCCCAACCCCTCCATTAAGTTTAATTAAATTACGTTGATCATTTAACTTGCCATTAAATTCCTTGGGGAAAAAAAATGCATCCCGAGGATCCTGAAAATCAGGGAAAGGTTCAAACCAATGGAGCAGGTTCTGCTCTGAGTCCCAGGGCAGAGCTTCCAAAACCTGCAGATTTTTCCGGGAATGTCCGGGTGGAGGACTCTCCCAGATGGAGCAGGAGCAATGGATAACGTTGGAAGTGCTGGAGACAGCTCCTGTTCCTCAGGCCGGAAGCACAGATCCGGCCTCCAGCCGGGATTTTCCCGGGAATAGGGGGAGTGGAACGCCCTGGGCTGGAATCACAGCTGGAATTCCCTCCCTGGAGCAGCCGGAGCTTGGACACGGCCCCATCCTCCTGGGAAGGGGTGTCCCTGATCCCACAGGAATTCTGACACCGGGATTTGATTGGAATTTTTTTCTCTCTTTCTCTCCGGTGCCTCATCCAGGATTAAGTTTAACGATGGATACAAGGCAGTGGCAAGGTACCCAAATGTCCTGGTGGGCGGGATCCCAGATTTTGGGAGGGGCGGAATGATCTGGGATTTTGGGGGAATCCCAGTTTTGGGGGATTTCTCCCATTGCAGCCCATCCCATAAAGAGGTGCTGGTTCCGGCACAAAGCCAGGATTTGGGATACAGGTCAGCCGCATCCTGTGCTCCCTCTGCACCGGGATACCAGGAATTGTGGTGCCAGGACACAGGGAAAGGCTTCCCACCGCCAGAGGGTGGGGATAGATGGGATTTTGGGAAGGAATTCCTGTCTGGGAGGGTGAGGAGGGGCTGGGATGGAATTCCCAGAGAAGCTGTGGCTGTCCCTGGATCCCTGGAAGTGTCCAAGGCCAGGCTGGAGCAGCCTGGGATCGTGGAAAGTGTCAGGGTTGGAATGGGATGATCCTTAAGGTCCCTCCCACCCAGAGCATTCCTGGGATTTGAGGATCAGCCCCTCCCCCTGTCCCGCTCCCGTGGGCTGGGGGTGGCTGTGTCCGGTTGGGAATGTTCATTAATTCCTCACCTTCCTCCTGCTGGCTCCGTCTCCTCCCAACAGCGAAGACCCAGAAGATCCCAGGTATGGGACGTGGTGTCCCTGCTTCCCTTTGGGAATGGTGTGTGCATGGGCGGGAGCGGTCCCTGCATGGGGTTTGCATCCCAGGAAAGGGAAAGGGCCTTTTCTGGGATCACCCACCCCTGGGATTCCCTCTGTCCTTCCTAATCCCAGCAAGGAAAAAACTCCTTCCAGTCAGGGATGGCAGAAGGGGTTCCCAGAGTCATGTTTGTCTGTATTCCAAGCAATCCATGGATCCATCCTTCCTTCCCTCCTTCCATCCATGCATCATCCATCCATCCATCCATCCATCCATCCATCCATCCATCCATCCAACCATCCATCCATCATCCATCCATCATCCATCCATCATCCATCCATCAATCCATCCATCCATCATGCATCCATCATCCATCCATCATCCATCCATCCATCCATCATCCATCATCCATCCATCCATCCATCATCCATCCATCATCCATCCATCCATCCATCCATCCATCATCCATCCATCCATCCATCATCCATCCATCATCCATCCATCCATCATCCATCCATCATCCATCCATCCATCATCCATCCATCCATCCATCCATCCATCCATCATCCATCCATCCATCCATCATCCATCCATCATCCATCCATCATCCATCATCCATCCATCAATCCATCCATCCATCATGCATCCATCATCCATCCATCATCCATCCATCCATTCATCCATCCATTATCCATCCATCCATCATCCATCCATCCATCCTCCATCATCCATCCATCCATCCATCCATCATCCATCCATCATCCATCCATCCATCCATCATCCATCCATCCATCCATCCATCCATCCCTCATCCATCCATCATCCATCCATCCATCCATCATCCATCCATCCATCATCCATCATCCATCCATCCATCATCCATCCATCATCCATCCATCCATCCATCCATCCATCCATCCATCCATCCATCCATCATCCATCCATCATCCATCCATCCATCATCCAACCATCCATCATCCATCCATCATCCATCCATCCATCATCCATCCATCCATCCATCCATCATCCATCCATCCATCCATCCATCCATCATCCATCCATCATCCATCCCTCCATCCATCATCCATCCATCATCCATCATCCATCCATCCATCCATCATCTATCCATCATCCATCCATCCATCCATCATCCATCCATCATCCATCATCCATCCATCCATCATCCATCCATCATCCATCATCCATCCATCCAGCCATCATCCATCATCCATCAACCATCCATCATCCATCCATCATCCATCCATCCATCCATCCATCCATCATCCATCATCCCTCCATGGATCCATCCCTCATTCCAGCCCCACCAGTGCTGTCCTACCTCCGTTCCCAGTTCCCTGGGATCCTTGGGAAGCCCTGGCACAGGGAGCTCTCCCTCCGGGACGCTCCCGGATTGGCTGGGTTGGATTGCCCCGTGCATGTGGATGAGTTTGGCGTAAGAAGGTGGATGCGTGTCCATCCCTGGATCACAACTCATGGAATTGCTCCTTTGGATTGCAGAGCCAGGGCCAAAGGGAAAGAGAAAAAGCACCTGGTGTTGCCGTTCAGGTATCCTGATTCCCTGATCCCTGATTCCTGGTGTCATGCTCTGGCCCCTGGCAGCAGAATCCCCTGGGAGCAGCAGCAGGGCAGGACTGCGAGTCCATTTTCCCAAGGGAAGCGCTCCAAAGCCAGCTTGTTTGTGGGATAAAATGGGAATTCTCCAACTGTGCCCATTTCAGGCTCCCAGAGGCCGGGCTGGGGCTGTCCGTGGTCACCTTTGGCAGGGAGAGCTGGACTGGAAGGGCCCAGGGAAAAGGAAAGGAGGGAGAAAGAGGGATTTGGCACTGGCTGCTCCACCAGGCCCTTGGAAAAAGGTCCTGGATCCCTCAGGAAGTGCAGTCACCCACCCAGATACCCGGATCCGAGTGCCAGGAATGGGGTGGATGCAGGAATCGGGAGAGGAAGGAGATGCAGGAAACACTTGGAGTAGGAGAAGGGAAACATAGGAAAAAGAGGGACACACTTGGAATGCGCCGTGCTCCTGCATCCCTCATCCAGGCTGTTCTCCCTCCTGGAAGAGGGGAAGGACACAGGATCTGCACTTCCCTGTGCACTTCCCTCTCCCAAGGATGGATCACAACGGTGGGACATTCCCGACCCTCTGCCTACCCTGAGATGGATCCTCAGGGATAAAACATTCCAGACCCTCTGCCCAGCCCAGGATGGACCCTCAGGATTGGGACATTCCCAACCCTCTGCCCACCCCGAGATTGATCCTCAGGGATGGGACATTCCCAACCCTCTGCCCAGCCTGGGATGGATCCTCAGGGGTGGGACATTCCCAGCCCTCTGCCCAGCCAGAGATGGATCCCATCCCGACTCCAGGGAACATTCCATCCCTCTGTGCCCTCAGGGCAGTTTGGATCAGCAGGGAAGGTGATTTCCAGCTGGGCAGTGGGAGGGAAGGATCCCACCCAGTGAGATCTGAGGGATGAGATCCCACAGGGATCCCACCTTGAATCCCAGCCAATCGATCTCAAATCCATCTCCAGCACATCCAGCAGGAGCTGGACCAGATCCCTGAGCTCCAGGAAAAGGTGTGGGATGATTGAATTCCTCTCCTGGCAGCTTTTCCAATGCCGGGCTGGGGTTCGGTGCTCCCGGGAGGATCTCAGCTGGCAGGGGAATCATTTTTCCCGCTCTGCTCCCACAGCAGGAGTCAGGACAGGGAGAAAGCAGGAACACTTGGATGAGAGCAGGCTGATCCCTGCTGCTCTTCCCAGTTCCCCACCCGTGTCCCATTTTATGCTGGAGCTCCTCTGGAATTCTCTCAAAACCCATCCAGCAACACTTCAGTATTTGATTTTTTTTTCTCCTGGCTGGTTTTCCAGCAGCTCGGGCACAAGGAGCTGGAATTTCAGGCTCTGGAATCAGTCCCTTGTCCCCAGCCAGGCGGAGGAGCCGCTGTAATTAACTCCAGTCTCCTTAATTGCTTCCCGAGCCGCTTAATTGCTTTCTGCTCCCTAATTGCTGCGGGACAATGAGGGCGGTGAGCGGCGGAGAGGGAGGGAAAGGGGGGGAGAAGCAGGACCGGGAAAGAAAACAGGGAGGAAAAGGGGGAGGAAAATAGGGAGGAAAAGAGGGAAACAGGACCCGGGAGGAAAAGAGGGAGGAAAATAGGGAAAAGGACCGGGGAGAAAAATGGGGAGAAAAATAGGGAGGAAAACAGGGAAATAGGACCTGGGAGGAAAACTGGGAGGAAAATAGAGAGGAAAACAAGGAGGAAAAGAGAAAAGCAGGAGAGGGGTGGAAAACAGAGGGAAAAATCGGGAGGCGAATCCAGGGGGGAAAATAGGGAGGAAAACAGAGAGGAGCAGGATCTGAGAGGAAAACAGGGAACAAAACTGGGGAGGAAAAAGAGGAAACAGGGAAGAAGGACCCAGGGGAGGAAAACAGGGAGGAAAACAGGACCTGCAGAGAGAAATATGGGAGAGAAGCAAAGCAGAAGCCAGGGAGCAGAGCAGGATCTCAAAGGGAAAAGGGAAGGATCGGTTGTGGAGTCGGGGCAGGAATGAGGAATTCCAGCTCCAGCCCATTCCCTGCAGCCCAGGCCCCTCTGGAGGGGGGATACAGATGCATCCCTGCGTTAGGAGAAGGAAAACCATTCCCCTCTCCAGAAAGGAGAAGCTTTGTCCCCTCCTGCCTAGGAGCTTTCCCAAACCCGGGAATGGGATCCGGGAATGCTGCATGTCTAGCACAGTGGTGCTGCATTAACAGCTCCAAACACGAATCCAGGGAATGCCCCTCGCTTCCAGCTCCAGTGCTGGGAGCTGGGCTCTCCTGAGCCACACAGGGATGTTTCCCACCTCGATTTTAAGCTGAGAGAGAGGAGGTTTGGATGGGATTTTGGGAAGGAATTCTTCCCTGG